AATAACACACTAAATAAATACTAATTCAGAAGTCAAACAACAAAAATCAGCGTTTTATTTTCAAAATTTTCACAGGACTAGTTTTGATAGTTTTACCGAACCACCATCCTCAGCTGTAAAACCGCAAATAACAAGATAGGAAATAATGATTAGGTAAGATAAGAAAGCCTAGGCAAGAATAAGGAAGTGGCGCCATCTGTTGGTGAAACCAGAACTAAAACATAATTTCTTTAAAGGCCAAAGGCAAAGATAGATTGGAATTAGGATTGTTAACTAGAAAGATTTTTTTAGATAACTAGAAAGATTTTTTTAGATTTTTTTCGATAGATTAGATAGAAAGATTTTTTTGAATGTGAAATGCCTCTAGAAAATCCAGTTCTCTAATTGAAGATGTTTTTTGAATAATTTTGGCAGCAGAAAAATTGAAAGTGTGATTTTCGGACCAACAATGTTGAGCAACAGAAGACTTCTGTGTTTCCTTTTTTCTAACATATGCCTCATGTTCCTTGAAGCGAAATTTTAATGCTCTCCTAGTTTAGCTAATGTAAATTAAACCACACTGGCAAGGAATCCTATAAATACCCCAAGAATTCATATCCGGAATGGGGTCCTTGAGTATGGAACTCGGAATTTTATTGATGGGAGAATAAACAATCCGAAAGTTGAATTTCTGCAAAATATGTGCAACTTTATAGCTAATTGATGGAAAGAAGGGAATGAAAACAGAATTTTTATAATCTCATAAAACAAGAGTGTGCCTTTTAGTGTGTTGAGATGAGAATTTTTTAACTGCTTGATTAATAATATTGGGTGAAAAGCCCTGTTCTGTTTATCAATTTAAAAGCAATAAACAGAAAAGCCCTGTTTATCAATTTAAAAGCAATAAACAGAGCTTTTCTGTTATTTTAACATATATATTATAAGCTTTTAAATAATTTAGTTCTTCGTCAAGGGCTAGTTTGGAGGAGCAAACTTGAAGAGCATGGAAAACATAGGAATAAAATGAAGCTAACTTTTGCTTAGCCGGATGACATGATTTAAAGTTTGGTGGAAGGCAAACCGATGAAAGTTTATGGTAAACTATAGTACTGAAGTTGGATGTTTTACGTGTGACCAGAATGTCGAGAAATGGAAGAGAATTGCAAGTCTCAAGTTCAAAAGTGAACCGAATAGCAGGATCAATAGAATTCATTGTTGAAAGAACTTTATTTAAATCATCTTTATTACCTTCAAACAGGGTAAAAGTATCGTCTACGTAGCGGAACCATGCCGGGAAGTTTAAAGTTTCAAACAATTTTGATTCATAATAATGCATGTAGATATCAGCCAGGATGGCACTGAGGGGGCTTCTCATGGCAAATCCCTCAGTTTGCTTGTAATATTTATTTTGGAAAACAAAATGTGTTTGTTTTAAACAGAGTTGAGTGAGAGAAATTAGCTCATCAATTTCGATGCAAGAGAAATGAAATTCGCGAAGTCTGGTTTCTAGACATCTTAATGCACCCTCCACTGGAACATTGGTGAATAATGATTTTACATCAAAAGAAACCATGAGTAAATTTCTAGGAGAAATGTTTTTAACCTTTTTTACAAACTCTATTGAATTTTTTATGGTGTAAATGTTATTGTCTAATAGAGTTGAAAATCTAGAAACTAAATATTTAGCTAAAGGATACAATATAATACCTAAAATTGATACAATAGGGCATAAAGGAATACCACTTTTATGAATTTTGGGAAGAGCATATAATCTGGCACAATTCGCAACAAATGGGATAAGCGAATGTTTTAAGTTGCTTGAAATGATTTGTCAAGATTTAATCGCAGTTTTTTATTTTTGGTAAGTCCGAAGGTGAACGATCTTTAGGGATCGGATTATACGGTCCTTTGTTTAAGAGTTTACTGACACCATTGATGTAAGTGTTCTTATCCATGACGATTATCTGGCCACCTTTGTCGGCTTTTGAAATGATAATATACGGATTAGAATGAATTTCGCGCATTGTAGCTCTTTCTCTTGCAGGTAGATTTGGTTTCAAATGTTTATTATTGAATTTCACATTATGAGCAATAAAATGCCTAATCATTTCTTTCTGTGAATCTGAAACATTACTGAACTTGAAAGCTTTTTCGATTGGAGCCAAAATCTTTGGAATCGAGGGTTTACAGGTTTGTGGTGTGGTGTGGTGTATTTAATTATGGCGAAGCACACTAGGGCTATCTGCCTAAGGGGAGAGATGCCTTTCGTGGAGGACTTTCTAAGGGAAACTGGCTCGTATACACGTTACACATGGGGAAAACCACGAAACCGCCCATGCAGCCAGCCCGTTCGCGGGATTTGAACCTCGGACCGAACTACCAGAGTTCAGCTACTTTACCGCTCGGCCGCTGGTGGGCCTTTACAGGTTTGTGAGAAGTTAAAATTATATTTTAGAATTCTCTCTTGCTCTTCTGAAAGACTAACATTAGAAATATTAACTATTGGCTTGATGTTTACAATGGGAAGACTTTTTGAACTACTTGAACTGGAAGACTGTAAAAGAAGTTTTTCGAATTTAACTGCAAGGTGTTTTTATGACGGTTAACTGCATTCTCCGTTCTAGACCAAGACTTTTCTTTAAGGGAAGTGAATTTTGGATATGAATTAGCTAGTTCCAGATGAAGTTTACAGAGTTCATGTTAAATTTTGGACAATTGTTGATGTGTATCCCTTATGATGGACCGAAGTAAGGCAAGCTTGCAATTTAACAGAATTCTTGAAATGCGACTGGAAGGTTTTTGATTAGATTTGATTTGAATAAAATTGGGGATCAATTTTTTACATTTAGATTTAAGTAAAAAGTCAAGATAATTCAGAAATTTTTGCTGTTTCAGGCGTAATGTGATGATCTAATATCCAGAAAAATCCAGAATCATCGAAGTCCTGACTGGTCCAGATATTTGTATGATATATATATGTGTGTGTAAGATATAAAATATGAAAACAAGTTTCTAACTTTAGTTTGGCAATGTCCTTTTGTTCCTCATTTTGATTTGATTACTTTCCCTTCTTGTCCTAAAATTACTGAATCTAATTGCTCTTGCTAATGCATCACTTTCCTCTCTGTTTTATCCATTGTCTAAGATGTAAATTTCAAAGAATGTTATGATGATTGGATACATATTGTACAAAATGATAGTGTGATCATGCTTTGTACTAAATGATAATGCCCCCTGATTATGCTTTTTAAGGCTTGCTTTATCAAGAAATAAAATTATGTGATATATTTACAGTCATGTCTATCTGCAAGGCCTTGTTTTTTATTACGTATCATTCAAATTATGCAGTAAAACAACTGCCTAAATTCATTACAGCTATCGGCCAATCATCAAGATATTTAATTGACAAATGTCGACTGATGGAGATTTAAAGTTCTCACACAACATCTTAAATAAATACAGATCGATGACCTTGACCATGATGCTGAAGCAATGATTATTTCAGCAATTTTTCATCTCTAAAGTGAACTAACTAGCTTCAAGCTGCGATCGTAATATCGCCCTTCAATTCACTCATTAAAACTTTGGATCTTTATATACTTTTCACTAATATGTAAATAACTCGATGATTGGAATTTATAAATAACCAGTACGGGCTATTTGAATGATACATAATGAAAGAGAGATTTGCAGATAGATGTGGCAGTTTAATCACATATTTATATTTCTTGGTAAAGCAAGCCTTGAGAAGCATAATCAGGCTCACACATTATCATCGGTGCAATATGCACTCAATTTTCTTAACATTCTTTGAAATTTACATCTTAGACAATGGATGAAGCGGAGAGGTAAGCAATGTGTGTTAGCAAGAGCAAGGACAAAGCGGAAAGTACACATTTAGCAGCATTGAGAGATACAGGGTCTTTGTTGAAATTTTGATCTGTGAATGGATAAAAGATATCCACATTATTACATGTTACATAAGATGGCATAATGTGGATTAATTTTGAAATGACGCACTTTTAGAAGCTTGATTTCATATTTTATACTTTACACACACATACATATATATTTTTCTTATAATTATTCATGGTTTTCATAGACTTTCTGTTCCTTGGAGATCATATATAAAAACTTTTCTAATTATATATATATATCGCTTAGCTGCTTGGAAGGTTTATAGTGAAAATCTTTTCGGTAGCATAAATATTGGATGTGCAGTAATCTAAAAATATACAAGAGCAAGCACATATAGATCAGTACATGTAGTACAACATAACCATAGAGGTATGTAAACAAATTATCAGCATTATATTGATTTAAAATATGATAAATGTTCCTTTTTAATAATTAATAAAAATTCTGTATGTCACCGAATACTGACATTAGATCATATTTTATAAATACGGGTGCCTTAAACAAACTGTCGGCTATTACTAACAGCAATAATTGTGCATACTAAAAAAATTATCCTGCTTTTTAAATGCATAAATACTGCATGTAACTACAGAATATAAATTAATTGCATATTTTTAGTTGTATAAAATGTAGTAAAGAAAAAATAGGTCAACAATTTTACTTTCATCAGTCGTTTTGATAATATTATCTACAAATTGTGGCTATTAATTTTCAGGACTGCTCTAATAACACCAAAACGGATGATGTGAAAAACGTAACTTTTTAATATGTTTCGAAGTAATCCGCATCTGCCATAATACACTTCTGTGCTCAGCTGTATAAGTTGTGGAAACAACTTTTAAAGTCCTGGAAATTAATAGCCACATCTTTTATATTCTTTTTGAGTTAAACTCTCAAAGTTTTGAAGCAATTAATAGTTTTCTGAAATATATCCACTCCTCAAAAGGACCATTGCATTTCATAGTCATATATTAAAACATAAAATAAATTATTGAAAGCAGTTCATTATCTTAAAATGGAAAGAAAATTCAAAATTATGTAAGCATTGATAGAGAATTTAAGTTTGCAATTAACTACACAAGTATTTTAAAAATGTGACTTACTATTTTTACAGACAACTGAGCAATCCCATTATCAGCCAATTCATCTTCAAACAGGATAACATCTTCATAAAATAAAATTTTCGCTTTAATTTTTAATTTCTCTATATTAATCCTTTCTTCTGTTGAAGTTACCTAATAAAATACCCTGTTTTTTTATATGGCACAAATCAAATTAAATACATCCACTTAAAAATAAAGTTAAATAAAAAAAGGTCTGAAGCTTTTTGATGATAATTAATTACATTTTTACACATACTAACTTTATATGAGCTTTCAGAACCAAATAAAGTTCCTTTATATTCAGTAGTAAAAGTCCAATCAAATGGTTTAATCACTTCTTTTATTTTAGCATTGTCCAACCTGAAAAGAATTACATTAGTGCTTTTAATAAATATTCTATATTTAACATAATTAAAAGATGACTTCTTCAAAACTACAGATTTTCTACACTCTCCAAATAAAAGAATAACAATAAAACTAAAATTAATTACTTCTACAATTTAATAATAATAAAAGTAGCATACACCAAATATTTCATAATTGCCTAGTTTTTAAACTGAGAAAAGTTGAGCAGAAAAAGAATAAATTTATGAATTAGAAAACATAAGTATATGAAAAATAAAATTATTATACTTTGTCAAAAGGGAATGGATGGAAATATTAATTACATAAATTGAGAAATGAATAATATATTTTTGCATTTGCATATATAAACGCAGAAGAACTGAACTGATTCCTTATGAAGAATATCTAAAACTTATGAAGTGCATGAAAAAATAATCAAATTTATCAGAAAAATGTAGGCAGCAAATATTACAGTTGTGAGTTGAAAAATTTTAACAGAGTTTCTCAAACTATAATATAGTACAGCATTACTAATCACATTACTTTTGCTGGTACAATTTTTACACAAAAGATTGAAATGTATGTTCAAAATGATTGCACATACATTGGTACATAATGGCAGTTATATTTTTTATTCTTAATTACATGTGGTATAGAATTAAAAAAAAAAAAAAAAAAAAAAAAAAGTACGTATAAGTGGAATCACCTTGGAGCAGATATGTGTTTTTTTACAGAATGTGAGAACATAAAATTCTCATGCCATTCAGCTTATCTTCATCGCTACTGTAATCGTAATCGCTGGACTGCCACGTGCACTGCATACATAAAAACTGGATAGACTGGTTTTTCGATCTCTTTCTGCTGATGATGTTTCAACCGAGTGTGTGGGGCCTTTTGGCCTAACACATCACGTCCTCGTATTATGGAGCATCACTCACGTGTCTCTGCTATTTTGTTTTTCCCTGAGTTGGATAAGAAGATATGTTCTATTTTCTAAAAAGTAGACGGTACTCGTGACATGCATGTTTCACATATCAGTTTTGTGTTTCTAAGATCTTCATGATGATTTTTGTATTATGTGTTGTATATGAATATTCAAGAGAAGTTTTTTTTTTATGAAATAAATGTGTGATTAAATGATTCTACAAGTCTCATGCATGGGGGTTATTTGGGTAAGTCAACAATTTTTTTATCCCTATTATTAAATTGTCAATGCAATGTACTCCACTAATTTTCAGGCTAGCAAATTTTATGCAGACATGATTTATATTTGATACTCCTAGTATCACACCAGATTATTAAGTCGCTTTTTCAACACCACACAGAAGAAAAAGCTTATTCAGTGAACTTTCAGATTGCAACTTAATGTATTTCATTACCTAAAGAAATGTTATGAGCATGGTTGTCAGAGTTTGGTGACTTCTACAAATACATTGTGATAATATGGAAGCTCTAAATTCTAAAAAGGCTCAGAATTCTTACTCTAGGAGGTTATGAGGTTGAGTGCGATTTTTCAAAAATGTTTTCACAAAAAGTTTAAGATAAAATTCTCTTAAAGATTTCTCTTTTAATGGAATTGTCATTAAATTTAAAATATGTTGCACAGTCAAAGATCCTCCTGTGGAAATACTATTCATTGAACTGAAAGGTTGTTCACCTTTAACATTACTAACAGCAATAATCTCCATAATGAATTTAGCTTTTTTTACACTAAAAAGCTAAAGGGTTTTGTACACGTTTCTCCACACAGAAATTAAGTATTTTTAAGGACTTCTAGTGAGCAAAATTAAGAACCTATCAGCAAAAGGAACTGAATAAACTAAAGCAATTATCTGTAAACAAAATCCACTTTTATAACATCATTCTAAGAATAAAATACATCTGTAAGTAGGATATATTATTATGAAGCATAATGTAGTACTTAACATAACTATGAAACAAACTCAAGGATAAAATCAACTTTATAAAGTTTATCAGTAATTAGCATAAAATTACAAAAGTCATCCAAAATTTACACTTATTTATATTTTAAATAATATCACTTATAATAGTCTCACATATTTCAAAGAACATCAGTGATATTTAAGTTTTACTAACAATTGCTTTTGTGTTGATTTTTTTCTTTTATGCCTCATTTAGTCACATACTCACTCAGCCTAGAGAATTATGTGAATTTTATGTACAGTGGCATCTGTTAAAATTGGAAGTACAATCTCAACCAGTATTATTTGTAACAGAAGCTTGGCTGTTGCTTTATAACACAGAGAGAGATACTGATTTGAACGAACATGAACAATGGAAATTGGCAAGCTTGGTATGTGTAGGTGTGTTTTGTCTGTCTGACCCAGTTAGTGTCGTAGCTTCGTACGGACTTGCTGGAGAGAAAATTCCACTGAAGCACCAGAGGTGATAAGTTATTTTATAGTCTCTAATTATCATTATCTGTATGGAATAAAGTTTAAGGTTAATTCTTACGTTTTTGTGTTGTATCAGTAAGGATAAAGGACAATAACTCCATGTAACACATACAGTTGAGCAATTATTTACAAATACTTATTATACATAATTGGATACCTTGAGTCATTACAAATTTACATGGTCAGTATTATTATTTTTTTTTTTTTAATTCTAAAAAAATATCTGTTAAAAAAGCCCAATTCAAATCATAGTATAAGACACTTTAACAGTTTAAAATACAGATAATCAGGCATGTAATTCATAATTCAATCTAAAATGATATTAGGATAATTATGTCTACAAAATGTGTGTTTCACAGTAACACACATTTTGTAGCTGTAATTTCGTGGTAACAACATACAACAGAATATTCATGCATCTTTTAAATTTGAAAATTTTAAATATATTTTAGCTAATTTGTATCAATTTTCATCTCTTTAACATCTTTATTGTTTCAATAATTAAAAAAAATCCACCTCTAATTTGTTAATGTTATAACAAATGTTTTGAGGAATAATTTTCTTTAAGTAATCAGTTTCTTTTTCTTAAGTTTTAAATTCTGAAGTTTCTTCAGAATTTTAATATTCAAGAAATATTTTAGAATTTCAGATTTAATTGAAGATTTACATTTTTCTAAATAACTGCATGGATTTAGAATGTATAGATGATGTTAATTTTATTTCTTTAATAATATGAGTATTGAGGATAAGTATGAAATGATATAAGGTCAGTGCCAGAACAACAGAATTTTTAGAAGTTAGTGAATCTTAAGCAACAAAATTTAGGATTGGCAAATTTTTTAGAATTTAGGACAAACACTGGGCAGTAGAATTCAGGACCCACAGAGTTTGCACCAGGTGGAAAAGTGTTCTGTGTATGGAGCAGTGAGACATAATCTTTTATATTGTCAGATCTTGACAAGAATCTTTTATTTCTCAATGATGAATCTTTTATATTGTCAGTTTTCAATTATTTTTATTAATAGAAAAATTCCTTTCTACAGATACCTGTGCAAGTGACAAGATTAAAACTATTTTTGCAATTTTCCATGCCTGTGTCCAGTGAACAAGATGAGAAAATAAAGGGAAGATAAACATGTTAACAGACATTTATGATTGACAGCAGAAAATTCAAATAACTTTGTTTTCACTTTTCTCCCAAAAATTTTCTATAAAATAGGAAATTTATCACAAATTTCTTATAACACACATTCATTACATTTAACCCTTTGAGGGGCGGTACTATATAAAATAATTTAAATTGTAGTAAAATTTTGCATGAACTACAACTTATGAACCTTAAGACACAAAATTGAGATTTTAAAAAAATCTAGAGCCAATTCCTAAATTTTGAGAGCCTGTATATATTTTATACCGGTGCCCCTCTAAGACAATTTTTTCCAGGTAGCTGCCAATTGTTAATTTTTGTTTTTAAATTAATTTTGCGCACTTTTGATGTTGCTACTGTAGTGATGAGGTGCTTGAATATAGTTATGAAGTCTGAAGACAAAAAATTTTAAAATTCGGTAGAAATGAAAATTTTAGAAATAAAAATTTTGTTTTATGCACTTTGAGGATGCAACCCAGGCTGAACATACTTACGTAAAATATGGGTAAAAAGCTTTTCAAATGATTTAAATGCAATATTATTTTTAAAAAAAATAAATATATATATATATATATAATGCTGCATGCGTAAATCGTATCATGCTGTAACTGAACTAGTATAATATTACAAGCAGATGTAACTCAGCCGAAAATTTAAAAAAATTGAAAAAATGAAAACGCTATGACTCAGCTGAGAAGTAGCTGCATTTTGATTTTTGAAGTTGTATTTTATGCTTTAGATAATATGTGGAAAAAACCACGCTTCATACTATGATATGAAGAATCCCCCTTGACGCGTGTACACTTTAGATGATTAAGGACCGTAAGCGTCCTTTTTTATTTTTTGTAAATATAGGTTGTAATATATCTTTTTGTTCAGGAAGAAACGCCGTTAAACAATTGTATTATTTGATACACCTCAAAGCTCTTATTCTGATTTTCAACCCCTTTGGCTTCCTAGGGGCTCCTTTTCAACTTTTGGATAAAGATGGCATCTAAAACGGGCCTTAGAAATATTTTCCCTCCTTTCGACAACTATGAAAATTTATTTCGGAAACAACCTATTTGTATCAACCAGAGGGCAAATTTCTCGTCTTTCATCTGAAATTAACAAAGAATTAAAAAGAATTTCCCTAAAGAATAAAAGCATTCCTTCAAACCAGCAGTTTTTGTGATTACACTATGAGATGAACTTAAGTACATTTCCATTTCATGCGAGCTTTCCCTTTGTGTGATCTTATCACACCTCACAAAGGGAAGAAGGCGTGACTTCCGAATGACAAATTGGTTGTCAGTCACCTCTTTTCATTTTCCTTGATTCTAGGATTTTCCATTCCATTGACGGAAGACGCGAGCACTGTACCTTTACCATATTACCATATTCTAGGATTTTAGAGAACATGAAGCAACGGGTGTCTTTTGGGGGCTAGAATGCCACATTTAACCCCCATA